TTTCTTTCGCTTCTCTGATTTTCGTTCTTATTAATATATTTATGGTTTTTTATTTGTCTGGGACATTTTTGGTTTCTCTTCTCTCGCCTATTAGTTTCAGGATCTTATCTGTCATCCATGATTTTTTTTATTATTCCTATCTGTCTTTAAGTGTTTATCCTTTACATTTTGCACTATTTCTGCATATGTTTGATCGTTTGTTCTTCGTTCGATTAGTCTCTAATTGCAGTCATTGCTAGTAGTAAGGTGGCTTGGACTTTCATCCTCGTATCAAGGTCTTTCAGCATACGTAGGTCATATGATTGTGCTTTCCGTTTCTGCACTGTTTTGAGTTTGACTCGAACTACTCCCACCAATAGAACGTGGTCTGTCTCCAAGTCTGCTCCAGGATAATTCTTAACAGATGTAAAGCTGTTTCGTGAAAAAAGTAATATAATAAAATAGTATATAAAAATGTAATTATGTTAAGAAAATCTTATATCTCATGACAATATTTTTTCCGAACGATCCGAGCTTTTCGCCATATCTATCGGCGTTGCTTCTTTTTGTCATATTTCATTTATAATATTATGTATTCGTATGTAAAATTGTTTGTCCCCTTTATTAATCAGTTCCGCATGAATTTTTCTCAACCTTGTAAATTAGTCCTTGAGTTGTGCCAGTAGTTGATTTTTTCATTTGTTCCACAGCCTTTCGACATCATTGCTCTGATCTACTGTATTTAACACTGTTTAATTTCTTGTTTGTAATTTTCTCGGATTTCATCATTTTGCATTTTCTCGATGTTCACTGTGCCAATGCTTCGTTGGCCTTAGGTTTCTCTGAAGATATTCTCAACCTGATTTTTGCTCTTACTAGGTGATAGTCTGTATCTCCATGTACTCCTATGAAGCTTCTTACATAGAGCACATTACTTTCATGTCTAGCATCGATAATTACGTGGTCAATTTAATTCCGCGTGGAGTGGTCATTAGAGAATCCAAGTCTGTTCATGCTATGTTGGAACATAGTAGATTTTACAAGCACATTGTTAGCCGATGCAAGGCTTCGTCCATTGTCGTTTAAGATATCGCGGAGGCTGTGTTGTTCTATTATCGGTCTTAGGTTAGGTTCTTTGTCAATTTTTGAGTTTAAGTCTCCACAGACTATCTGCATGTCTTGTTTTCTTTTAGTCTTATATAACAAAGTCTTTCACTAATGGGCGTGAAACTTATAACACTGTTTAGGTTATCCTTCTCATTCTACGAAACCTGTGCCAAATTCGTATTTTCTTGCCTGGTTTACACTGTACAAAATCATCGCCTTGTGTATTTTTATGTTTTCCGTATCTAGCCACCTTAGTTATTGTATTAGCGTAATGTCCATTCCTATTTTTTCTAACCGTTTTATTGCCTGTATAGATGCTCCCGTCCGGTACCAACTTAGAACATTCCTTGTTCCAACATTCAAAGTCCTTGTTCATTGCGATTGTAGTTTTCCATATATATTTGATCGACTCCGAGACTTCTCCTTTGTCCTGGCCTTGGGACCAGTAAGAAAGACTGTTAAGCTACTCAATCCACCTAACAGTCATTCCACGCGGAGTTATATGCAACATAGTGGTTAAAACTATATAAAAATCATTAGATCAATAAAAACAGGTGATAAATTAGAGATTCCCTTAGTCGTTCATCGTAGTTCGTATCTTTTCCTTTATAAGCCAATACCAAATTAATTATATTTTCGAACAGAGTTTTGTGGTTTAAAAAAAATCCACAAGGAAATTAGTTCCTGCAGCTGGATGTTATACCACGTATCACAAAAATAGGTTAAAATCTTTGTAAAATGGGTATATTTAAAAAACCATTAATAAAAGAACTACATCAATAACACGAACGTTTTCGGAATAATAATTCCATCATCAGGTTAAAAATGCAGGTTAACATGCCTGTGCACCAAAATATTAGGGTAAAAACCTTTAAAAAAACAAGGTTAACAAAGATTGTACATAATGTTGTTATTAATATTTGATGTTAAATATTTAATTAAATTTTTACTTTAGGTAACATACACCCATGCTTTAAGTGAGTTCCAGTGTTCGGAGGGTAAACCTCTTCAAACGAACTTTAGTTGGTAACTGGTTTAGTTACCAAGATGTATCCGCTGCACAGGAAAACACCTAACAGTCAAATGTGAGAAACCCATGGACGAAAAACTTAAATGTGTCCAAACACAAAGAATGCATCCATAACCTGTAGAAAATCGAAAACAAGAAAAAAACAAAACAAGAACTTATAGCATGGTAAGCAGCTGGTAAAAGTAACGAAGAAAATTATAGTAGTCAAAAAGCTATACCTAAAAGACTTGGTAATGGCGGGTAGTTTACGAATAGTAGAATGGAGTGCAAATGGCATCTTTAAACATCATATGGAACTACAAGCAGTATAGAATATATAGATATAGAATATAAACAATTAAAACACGTAATCAAAGCCTAAATTTTCAAAATACGCTATAGAATGGTCAAGTGCTACATTGGTCCATCTTGATATTTATGGCATGGAAACGTGGATTTTGAAAAAAAACATCTATCAACAAACTTGAAGCATTTGAAATGTGGTCATTGAGAAGAATGATGCGCATACCTTGGGTGGTTCGCGAAACGATAACGTCCTTAAGAAAGCCAGCGTGGGAAAGAGAACTCTTTGAATTAATTAAAAAAACGCAAGATTGGTTACCTTGGGCACATATTGAGAGGAGCAAAATATGAAATACCACATTTATATTAGATATAGAAAAAATAGACATATAGATTTAGGGGTTATAAAACTTATCATACTACTCACCTGATAATGCAGCCAAAGGAGGTTAGTGCAGTAATAATCAAAGAAAATATTCACGATGCACGATCGAGAAATAGGATACAGAACTAAAGAATTTTAGACCACATAAGTAAAAATTTACATGTAAAAACTATAAGGTAATCGTCACAGTGGTTTACAGTCCGTCAAGACATGCCATCAAGAAAAATCAATATGTAGATTTCCTGACCAGTCAAATACATAGATTTATCCTTGGAGGAGACCTCAATGCAAAATATACGCATTGGGTGTCATGACTGACTACCACCAGAGGAAAAGAATTGTTAGAATCAATAAAAAATGTGACGCAACATTAACGGGAAAGCCAACATACTGGACTACTGATACAAATAAAATCCCAGTCCTTATCGACTTCTTTGTAGTCAGAAATATTTCAACAAATTACATAGAGATGGAAGAGGCGCTGGATATAAACTCGAACCATTCTCTCATTATTTGATACTCAGTGATACTGTTATAAAACAGCCTCCTAGGCTTTAACTGTTTACAAAAATATTGACTGGAAAGTTTCCAGATAGATCTTAAAGAGAAGATTAACTTCTCAGTTCCATTAAGAACCGTTGATCATTTAGAGGCAGAAGTACAATTACTCAATAAAAATGTACAATAAGCTGCTTGGAACACCAGCACGAACAGTGTCGAAAGAATGAAAGGAAATAACTACCCGAAAGAAATCAGAGAAATGATAACCGAAAAAAAAAACTGAGACACAATGGCATCAGATCTAGAGCACCATTTGATAAAACTAGATTAAATAATGCCACACAAAAATTAAAAAGAGAAATTTCAAAATATTAAAAACAAATCGGTTAGCATATACCTAAGTGAACTATCAAATGATAGCGCTGCTGATTACTCATTGTGGAAGGCTACCAAATGATTAAAAAGGCCAATCTTACAGAATCCACCAATTAGAAATACTAATGGTAGCTGGGCAAGAAGCAATATACAAAGCCAACAGGTTTGCTGACCACCTAGAAAAAAAAATACTTTTCAACCAAATGAAGAACAAGAAAATAATTAACTGGGAGCTCCCTAATCAAGATGAAATGGAGATTAGCCTTGTAACTTCAAAAGACGTACATTTGGAAATAAAAGAAAATATAAATCCAAAGAAAGCCGTTGTATTTGATTTAATTACTGATTTACTGGGGAAGTGTTAAAGCAACTTCCAAGGAAGAGCTAATAAATTATTTATTTTATTATTATTAACACATTTTATAAACGCTTCCTTTTAGCTGAGGTACGTATCAAAGATATGGAAGGTGGCAGAAATTATAATGACACTAAAACCAGGAAAACCTCCACAAGAAGCTTTTTCATATAAGCCTATTTCACTGTTACCTGTCATGTCTAAATTATACGAAAAATTACTCTTGAAGAGACTTAAAACGGATTACAGAGGAAAAAAATCTTATTCCTAATCATAAGTTTGGGTTTAGAGCAAGCCACAACGATAGATCGGGTGCTATAATAACAGATATAGTAGAAAAAGCTCTAGAAGAAGGAAAAGTCTGTTCCTCAATTTTCCTCGATGTAGCGCAGGCTTTTGACAAAGTGTGGCATGACGGATTATATCATCAAATGAGATGCTACTTACCAAAACAATATTCTGAACTACTAGAATCATATATATCCGACAGATACTTTCGAGTTAAATATCAGGAAGCATATTCAGAATTAAGAGAAATTAAAGCTGAAGTTCCACAAGGAAGTGTCCTGGGGCCAGTGCTATACCTGCTCTATACCAGCGACATTCCATCATTAGAACCTAACACAATTGCGACATTTGCAGATGACACATGCTGCGTTGGAAAGCACATATTAAAAAAAAAGGAGGAATTCGAAATTAAGTTCAGAAAGATGTACAGGTTGATGGGAAAAAAATCCACTCTGTCTACATTATAACAAATGTTATTGTATAAACAAGTCCTTATAACATCCAAATTATACAACGATATCTTAGATAAGTTTTTTGTAATATTTTTGTATATAGAACTAGCTTGCTTATTAATCATAGTGAATGATTAGATAGCAATAATCATAAGAGTCTAGTTGGAGTTTTACTAAATAAAAATAAAAATTAAAAAAATAAAAGAAATCAGTTCAATAAAAATAATAAATAAATATAGTAATTCTGCAAGTTTTTATATCGTTTATTAAAAAAATTAAATACTCTATTTGCTATATATAAATATAATCTAATTTTAAAAAAGTTCGCAAAGTTCTTTCAAATCTTCTATAGATTCCCTTAGTCGTTCATCGTAGTCCGTATCTTTTCCTTTGTGAGCCAATACCAAATGAATTCTATTTTCGAACAGAGTTTTGTGGTTTAGCTCTGCATCTGACAAGTAAATCTCAATTTCATCTGAGCTAATTAATACTAAAGGAAAATAGAAAGCACTCATCAAAACACCGAACAGCTTTTGCTCATCACAACTTTTTAAAAAGTCTGTGAAAGGTAAAATACTGTCAATTTTTAGGTCACATTGCTTGAGGTTCTTTTCCAAAAAACTGTAATACATTCCCACTAATTCATACAGATATTTTTTTCTGAATTCTCTGCGAGTATTTAGGTATAAAAAAGCAAGTACATCTTGCGCTGGTGGTGCATACCGGCCAGCTTGAAAATCGACTAACTTACAGCAAATTGGTTTATTAGACTTTTTGTCATATTTTATTAATATATTATTTGCCCATATGTCTCCATGTGTTAAAACATTTTTAACAGTTTTTGATGGTTTAACTATTTGATATATTTTACGACAAACCGTGTCTGCTACTTCAGTAAAAACTTTTCCAGAAGCCAGTTTATTTTGGAAAATTAAAAAGCTTTATTTCGTCCACGATACATTTTATACAAGATTCTACTCCTTCTACATTTGGAAAACCTTTCCTCTCGTTAAAGAAAGTCTCTTCTAAATCGTTTCCATATAAATCTAATAGACTCTTCTTTAATTTTTCTTCATACGCTATGCTGCTGGAATGTAACTGGGCTAAAGCTTGTAAAACAACTATAATAACATCGTATTCTAAGCAAATATGTTTATTCAAACTTTGATAGTTTTCGGTATTAAGATCATTTAATATAAAGTATTTTTTGGGAGCTACTAAATAGCAGTAGGGAACAACATAACTGGCTTGGGTGATACCTTCCTTAGAAAATTCTTTGAACAATTTATATACTAGAGCTTCTTTTTCAAAGGCCCCAATGCCCTCAGCGAATTGTGCTTGAAATTCAGCAAATGGAAAATACTTAACGAAAAATTGCAAATGTTCCTTGGATCCAATTTGGTTTAGAAATGTTACGAACAAAATACTATGCTCTCCAAGAAGACCAAGACGACCAATTATAGGTTTAAGCTCATAATTGAGTAGAACGAAGTGATTGGTACCCAGTTTTTTCTCTATGACTTTGTTGACGTGTATTTCGTGGATATTTACATAATTAACTTCTTCGGTATTTTCATTCTGGACCACATTTTTATTAGGTTGAGGTTGTTTTAGTTTATTATTATACGATAACGTTTTCTCTATGATATCCATTATAGGTAACCTGAAACAAACAGAAATTTTAAATTTAAACATATAATTGGTTAGAAAATAAGACTAATTTAAAATATACCATGACGTAGTTAAAAATCTCCAATTTAATGAACAAAAAATTTACATAAACCAAATAAAAGAATCCACAAGGAAGATGAAAACGGCTGTATACTATATATCACAACAAAAATATTAAAAAATTCGTAATAAAAAGTATATTTATTTAAAGCAAGCCCTTTCGGGGTAAATCACAAAATGTTTTTGGAATAAATATTTTATTCTTAGTGCTGCGACTAGATATGCATGTTTAAAGTTACTAAATGTATAGGTAAAAACCCTTTAAATATTAATAAATTGGTATAAGATTAGATGGTTGCTGATAATTTTATAGGATATTTAAGTAGATACACTTTATGGCAACGTAAACTCCCAACGATGCTTACTGTTTGGGAGACGCAGTTTAGAAGTGGACCTTAAGTAGCGACTGTTGTTGAGTTGATACCTAAGGTCTGTTTAGAGACTATGTCTTCGGATCAGTAACCCTCGTTGCCATGAGGTAAATCTTCTTAACACTTTCAGATTCCCATAAAACTATCATCAACGATATAATCTAATTCAACGGCTAGCGTTACTATATGGTAACGGTAGACAATCATATTTTGGTTAACACAAAAAATATTGTATGCTGAATTAGTCTCTACTAAATGCTGCTATAGTCAATGTATATTAAAGAAGTACAAATATCAAACTCAGCTTACCCAACTAGAATTCAGACTATAGATTGCTTATAGAATGCTATAAAGGGTCTTAAAAATAACAAAAGACCAGGCAACGATAACGTATACAGGGAAGTATTGAAATGCTGATGCGAAACAAACAGTCAATTTCTAGAATCACTCGTCAGACTCTTTAAGAATATTTATAACAGCAGGGAGTTTCCTGAAGACTGGCTAGAGTCAACTTTTGTTGCCATACCGAAAAAACCAAAAGCAAAGTCTTGTGATCAACATCGAATGATAAGTCTAATTAACCTTATTTCGAAGGCATACACTAAGGTTATTTACAACAAAATAAGCAAAACATGCGAGGATAACATTGGAGATTCGCAGTTTGGGTTTCGGAATTCTGGGACAAGAGAAGCACTTTTTAGTCCACAGGTACTCATCCAGCGGTGCTGAGATATAACAAAGACGTGTACATATGCTTTATAGACTACGCAAAGCATTTGATAACGTAAAGTACGAAAAGATAATTGAAGTTCTCCATAAGATCGGAGTCGACTATAGAGACAACAATAGCCAGTCTCTATTTGGGGGTCAAACAGCTAAAGAGGAAAGTAGGATCTACATTGACCAATAAAATTGATATCAAGAAAGGAGTACGTCTTGTCTCCGATTCTCTTTAATATATACTCAGAAGAAGTATTTAAGACAGCGCTGGAGGAAAGAACAGAAGGCATAAAGATAAATGGAGAAATAATTAATAACATAAGGTACGCTGATGACACTGTGATTCCAGCAAGTAGCATGGAGGAAATGAGTTGCCTAATGAGTAAGTTACAAAAAACAAGTGCACAATACGGACTAAGACTAATATCACAAAAACCAAATGGATGTTAGTAAGCAAAAACCCAACAACTACCACAGCAACTGATATTAGACAATGAAAGAATTGAACACTGGATTCGTACATCTACTTCGGAACAACAGTTAACTCAAATTGGGATCAAGCGAAGTAAATACGTATAAGAGTACAAAGGCAAGAGTATCGTTCACTAGCATGAAGCAAATTTTCTCATCTAAAAGCCTCACCCTACCTCTCAAAATTCGACTTATGAAATGTTATTGTATTCCCGGTTTTTGTTATATGGAATAGAGGCGTGTCAAATGTCACAGTTCCATAGCTCACAGTTGTAATTTCCAATAATTTGTCCAATATTTTTTTGTATACCATAGCCAGCTAGCGTTACCAAAACATAATCGCATTTTTTGAAATAAGTGAATCAGAGCAGTTTCAAATATCGTCCGCATTGTGATATTGACTATTTGGATATATTCGAGATGTTTGCTGATAGAGAAATATTTGAACTACTTGTGGACGAATCAAGAAAATACTTAATTTTCTGCAATAAACCAGATCCAAAAGTTTCTAACCAAAAAGTGTGTAATGTGTAATTCGGATTAAGATTGTTACACCTTGAAAAGAATTTTTATTGAGATTCCGAACAAGATATAAAAAATATTTTAGTCACGGAATCTATGAGAAGAGATCGGTTTGGCCAATTTTTTTAAATATTTGCATCGCGCCGACAAACACACAGTTTGTACATGGTGACAAAATGTGAAAGCTACGACTACTGATGGGCCTTTTCAAACGTCGCTTTATTGACAACTGGATACCTGAACAGAAGTTAAATTACGATGGGTGAATTTTACGGGTACGTTCAAATACTTTGAAAAGCATACATAAAATATGATCCTGAACTCTGCTTGTGATTATTTGGTGAACTTTGATATACATTAAGAAAAAACCCAAAGGCAAACACTACTTACGAAAGTGATTTTGAAAAATGTGCTGCTCCTTTACTTTGCATGATAGATGAGTTTTCGGATAATGTAAAAAAGCTCCCGTTCGCGTATTACTTTAACAAACTTTTCACAAGCTTCAGTTTGCTATTTTTATTGAAATACAGGGTTAATGATGGTATGGGAACTATGAGAGAAAATAGACTTCGTAGAAGTTGTAAGTTACCTAAAAACAAGCATGATTTGGAGATCGAAAAAAACAGAAGACATATGTCTGTTATCGACAAATAAGATGAAATATTATTAGTAAAGTAGATAGGTCATACCATAGTGACAGTAGCATCTACATGTCATGGCGTCATTCCAGTCACTCAAGTCAAACGCTATTCGTGAACTGAAAAAAAAATTATGCAAGTTCCACAACCTTATCTCATTTCTGAAAATAATCGATTTATGGGAAGCACTGCATTCATGGACCATCAGATATTCAAAAACCGGATTTTCGTTCGTAGAAAAAAGTGGTGTGGTCAATTTTTCAACTTTTTAAATTTACTTTTTGGTCAAAAGTATATAGAAGTAATGTTTGTCTTGATTTAATTTTAAAAACAGAAAACAGAGTCGTAAACAAAATTCATCAAACGGTCGAAAATTTGTATCATCATAGGCGTTCCTGAGGTGTTTATTCATTAAAATTAATATTAATAATGTTTTAATACTGATTATATTTAGTAAAAAACAATTAAAACTTTCACGGCTAATGTTGGTTATTATATTATATTAATAAAAATAATTATTTAACCATTAACAATTTTGTAAATAAGAATACCTTATCTCTTTGGATATTTCAATACTAATCTTCGCGTTTAATCACTTTACTAGAAAAACCTGGTATTTATATCCGAAGGTACTATCGGTTGCAAGATAATTAGGATGGAATTCCCCAGATTTTTAATAATATAATGGGTATAGATGCCGGATTTGGCCACGTACCTCGTCTGTTTAATTTATATTCGAAACTTAACTTCAAAGGGTGAAGTTATTACGAACGAAAACAATTTGTTTAGTACGTTGTTTATCGCATGTAATTTACGGCTCGTCGGTGTTTCCGCTTCTACGGCAGTAATTAGCGTCTCGAATATTTCTTTTGCGAATTATATGCAGTGCGTGAGTGATTTTTTTATTCCATATACCTACGACCATATACGTACGTTTTCGTAAAATCACTTTTGATTGACCGGGAGGAGATAATATGTTGGGAGAAGAAATTATCTAAGATCCATACGAAAATTCCGGGCTGAAGGAAGGCCAATCTTCTACCAGGATGAATCGTGGGTAAACTCAGGTCATACTCTAAAAAAAGTTTGGTCAGATAAAAATATATTCAGCTCCAGGCAAGCCTTTATGGAAGGTTGGTCTACTGGTATCTCCCCACCTTCTGGTAAAGGCAGTAGATTAATAATTTCTCACATTGGCAGTGAAAAAGGATTTGTTAAGCATGGTTTGTTGGAATTTTCAGTCCAAAAGCACAAAAGACTATCACGAGGAGATGACAGCTGATGTTTTTCGAAGAGTATTTTGTGCAGATGATTGAACACATACCACCAAATTCAATTATAGTATTAGATAATGCACCTTATCATTCACGACTAGTAGAAAGACTTCCAACGACTGCGTGGAAAAAACAGGATATTCTTGACTGGCTGCGGAATAAGTACCTGCCTTACGAAGATGGAATGGTAAAAGCAGAACTTTTAAAAATTGCCCGGCAACACAAATCTAAGTTCAAGAAATACGTAGTTGACAAAATGGCGGAAAGGAGAAACATCACAGTCCTTAGACTTCCACCCTACCACTGCGAAATAAATCCAATTGAACTCATTTGGGCACAAATGAAAAGTTATGTGGCTAGAAAAAATACGTCATATAAAATACAAGCTGTACGTGAATTGTTATACGAGTCTTTACAACACATTACAGAACAAAACTGGAAAGATGCAGTAAGACATGTAATAGAAGAAGAACAAAAAATGTGGGATCTTGATAACATAATTGATGCGACCGTAGAGACACAACCGCTAATTATTAACCCTCAAGACGACTCGGATTCCGAAGTTGATCCTATTTATTTTGAATTTGAATAGTTTTCTAATCGTAATTATATAAGGTAAGTGATAGTAGTTGTAATCGTAAGGTATTAAAGGGGAAAGGCGCAAAACGTTCGCCTGTCAAAATGTTCAATGTGTTTTAAATGTATCGATTTTTTTTTCAAATCCTGAGAAAACTAAAAAGCCTTTTTGGAAAAATTTAAAGGCAGAATAAAATATTTATTAGAATAAATAAAAAGTGTCTTTTGCATGCAATATTTTCAATTAAAAATTATACTATATTCTCTCTTTTATTTTCACCCCTGTTGCATAACATAATAAAATAAACATTGTAGAAGTTTTCAGGGACTTTCTGTAATATACATCAGTATACACATATA